GCCTCGTTAGTTAGATCTCAGCTTAAACACCACCTCCTCAGAGAGGCTCTCCTCCGATGCCCACCCTGAAGCTTGTCCATCTCCTTCCCGTCCCTTTCTGGTCTTGTTTGTGTCGAGGGCCACAGAGCCTGGACGGCCAGACTGAATCCTGGGTCTGCCCCTTCCCAGCTGAGTGAGCCTAGGCACATGCTTGATCTCTCCCAAGGCCTGTCTCCTCATCCTTCGAGTGAGGGTGCACAGCCCAGCCCGGCCTCCTTTCTCTGGAGGTCCTGAGAGGCCTCATGAATATGAGGCAGAAAGGCATTCTGGGATGGTGGAGTGTGGTTTGAAGGCGGCGTGACGGCTTTATGGTCAGGAGATAGCTCTGGCCCTGGTGAATGCCAGGGGATTGCAAGCAAGGCCCAGTCACTTGCCCCAAAGAAATACTTTCTCCTTTTAAGGCAGTGAGCTAGATATTTATATATTGAATTTTAGGGTCTGATTCAAACCGACCACTGAATGCATTTGTCTGGAAATGCAGTCTCCAGCCTTGTTTTCCAGCCTTATCGTACTTCTCCACACCCCACTTCACGCCATGCTTCTCTGAGCCCTGCTGCAAATGTTCACTGACCATTCACTGTGGTGTGGCCCTGTCTAGGTGCTGGGAAAACCATGTCGAGGAAAAGCAGACCCATCGTGTGCCACCGAGTGGTGATGGTGGGGGAGCTGGACGGGAAGGAAATGGTCCAAGACATGAGGCAAAAACTCAGCCACAGGCACTTGACGGCCATGGTGCTGGGGGCATGTGACCAAGTCATGAGCTAAGGCCTGAAGGAAGTGAGGGGGTGGGGAGGGAAAGCACCCCAGGCAGAGGGAACAGCATGTACAAAGACCCTGTGACAGAGGAGCCTGGTGCTAAGGAGGAGAACTCTCCTTCCAGCCTTCCTCCTGTACTTTCCTCCTCCCCTGGGACAACTCTCTCCCTGTATGGTTCCATCTCTACTTGTTAGAAGCCTCTCTGTTCTTCAAAGCCAAGCTCAAATGCCTCCTCTTCCAGGAAGCCTTCCATGGCATGTCTTTCTCCCAATCAGCAGGAGGAAATGATCTCTCCTGCCTGTGAGCTCGCTCACCTCCCTGACCCCTCCTCGGGGCCTCACTCATGCCATTTTGTATGTAGACTGTCCATGTCTTATCTTCCCAACCAGGATGTAAATCTGCAAGGGCAGGAACTTTGTCTTATCCAGTGTAGACTTGGAGTCACATGGTTCTGGGTTTATATCCTAGTGAGGCCATTTAGTAGTGGGACTTAGCATAAACGATTCCCCTTCTCTGGGCCTCCATTTCCTCATCTGGAAAGGGGGGATAATGAGGTAAGGGTATGGTGTGGTGGCACAGTTCCCAGCTGGGCTCTGGGCATCTATGAGAGAGTGGGACTCATCAAGGGGCTTGGAACGGGTGGTTATGATCCAGAAAGCCTCAGGGCTTGGAGGGCTTACAGGGGCTTAGACTCACTTCAACCTGAGTTTTCCAAATTTGACTGAGGATAGGAAGCACTCCAGCCACTTGATAAAAATGCAGCTTCTCAGGGCCTACTCCTGGGGTTCTGATTCAGCAGGCCTGGCGCGGGGTCCAGAACCTGTGTTCTGAAAAGCTCTCATATCGCTCTGCTGCACCATTTGGTAGGGAAATTGAGGCCTGGAGGCAGGAAGTGATTTTCACGAGTGTGATAGGCTGGATCAGTTATTTCAGCTCTTCCTCTGTTACAGGGTTCTGTACACACGCCCTTTGCCAAGTAACTGCAGGGCTCGTTGGCTGTGGGTGACTGCGCCACAAGCGGGATCTGTGTTTGTGTGGCGTGGCTTGGCCCGGCCGGCCACCTGTGTTCCCACCATGCACCACGAGAGAAATAAGCCTGGGTGGCTGCTGGTCCAAGGAGCAGGAGGAGACATATGGAACAGACTGAATGCAGCCCACGTTCTGGAGTCCTGCCCGGCACAGACAGCCTGTGCATATTAGCTAAAACCTCACTGACCTACAGACTAATTAGCGAGAAAATGTTTATTGTTGTCAAGCACTGAGTTTTGGGGTGGTTTTGTTATGCAGCGTTATGGAAGCAACCACTGACGAATACACTAAGGTCATCCAGCACATGAATGGCAAAGCTGGGACTCAAACTCAGGTCCCTGGCTCCTATTCCAGTGCTTGTTTCTCACTGCTTCTGTCTTTCAATCCTGAGGACTCCCCCGGCACCCTCCTCTCTGGAAGCCCCTCGCTTCCATTCTACCCCATCTCTGTTCTCTGGGAACCCCCAGCTCCAGACAGGAGGGGTCCATCCCAGCAGCTCAGACTCCATCCGTGCTGCTAATGTACTGAGGTTTCTTGAGTGGGCAGTTCCACCCTCAGGGCTCCCAAATGAATGTAGGGGAGGCCCCCCCCCCCACACACCCCGGCCAGGGAAAGAACTCCAGGGGCTCTGGGGGATTTCTACCTCGTCCTACTTGAGAAGGGTTCCCTCCCCTCCACTCCCACTGGGAGCCTGGGCTTCCCTACCTCAGGGCTTCTCAAGCTGGAGAGACTTAACAGCTGAGGCTTCACAGTCTGTTAGGTGTCTCTGCCAACAGCTGTTGGTTTGTGAGGCCCTCTCAGATGGCCCACCTTGAGTCAGCTCCATTCGGACCCCAATCTGAGTGGGGACTTAAATGCCCCCACGGCCCTGTAAAAACTGCAGGCACATGCTCAGACACACGCCCTTTCAGCCACAGCAACACCACAAACATTCACAAACAAAACCACACTCCTTCTCAGGCACAAACACACAGACAGGCAGACCACATTCAGACATACAAACTCACGCTCAAACACACCCCCTCCACACCCTCAGATTCAGACATACCCATACTCACGAATGCATGTATCAATAAGAAGCCACACGCCACAGTCACATGCAGTCACAAACACACAGTCACCCAAACACATAGGACATACCTACGTATTCTCACAAATACACTCACACGTCCAGTCAGGCCCACAGTCACACTCAAGGTTCCTTGGACACACCCTAGATTTTGCGTAAGCACAGGAGTCCGTTAGACCTAGTTAATTCCTGCCTCTTAATCCTTCCTGCTTTGTGACTCAACTACTCTGAGCATCACCTGTAAAATGGAGACACAGGTGCCTTCTACCTAAAGAGACCAGGGGTAGGCAGTGAGGTCATGTGCGAAAGCACCCCTCAACCAGGTGGAGCTGGTTGCCTTCACTCCTTCCATGTTCTCATGCACGTCCTTCCCCCTACTCGAATTCCACTTCTTCATATCGCTCCCTTCAAAATTCTATTGGGTTGGGCTGGCTGAGTGATGCATTGGTTAAGAGTTGGCTTGGGACGCCAGCTCTGAGCAGCAGGGCCTCGGTTTGGATCCCACATGAGGGCCAGTGACACTGAGCCCTCTACAGCTAAGATGGTGAACAACAGCTCCACCTGGAGCTGGGCTGCCGTGGATCACCGGCGATGGCGTGGGCTGCAGTGGGGGCTGGTTGGCAGCTGGCGTGAGCTCTCGTGAGCTGCCGTGGGCGGCCGTCCAATGGCCAGCGAGCGACTGCCTCACCCGGGAAAAGCACAATGATTAATACCAACATGGGCCAGTGAAGCGACATCCTCCACAACTATCCTGAAGAACAAAAGGACAGTAACTTGTCTGTTCCCCTTCCCCGATTCCCCAACACTGTTCCCCTCCCCCAATTCCCCAATAAAATCTTAAAAAAAAATTCTATTGGGTCTTTAAACTATAGGTCACACCCTGCCTCCTACATGAAGCCTTCCTGGACCCCCACCTCTGGATTCCCTGAGCATTCACTGTGTGGACCCCACTTGGCATCAGAAAGATAAGCGGGAGCCTGGCCTGCCCTGGCTCTTCCTTGGGCAGGGCTCAGATCGCACCCACAGCAGGGGCTTGGCAAGGGTTGTTGAGTGAACGACTGAGGGCACATTCACAGAGCCAACCACAAAGCTTTCCACCCACAGGCACCACAAGGTCCTTAAAAATCTCATGTGGCCCTTGGCTGGAGGACGAGCTGGGAAGTGTCTCCTGGACCTGGCCACGCAGAGGTTTCAGGTGGCCCTGAGGACAGTGGTCTTGGTGGAGAGAAGGGGCCGGAAGCCTAAGTGAAGCGGGAATGGGGTGGTGGTGGTGAGCCTGCGTTGTTTGGCAATTGTTTCTGCCATGAAGGCAAGCTGGGCAGAAGATGGAGGGTGACATGGGGGTCACAGAAAGGATGATTAAAGGTGAGCTTAGGGAGAAGAGTTTTGCTGTAGTTAGACTGCGGTGGGGTGGAGGTTCAAAGACAGCCCCTGTGGAAACTGCTAGACGCCCACTGAAATCTGTCTCCCCGCCTTCCATTGTGATAGAGGTTTAAGTTAGGCTGGGAGCGATGACGCCTCCCAACCTCCTTTGTGGCTGGGTGAGGCCGCCTGACCAATCAATCTCCTTCCAGTGGAATGTGCACAGAAGTGATGGGTGCCACTTCCTTAAAGGTAGGTCGCTGCCCTGCGTCTTCTCTCCGTCACCCTTCCTGCAGGCTAGAGCACAGACACGCGACACTGCTGTGACCATGCAAACCAGGAGCATGGAGGGTGGTGAGACAAGATAGAATCTCCTGGGTTGGGTCCCTGAATCTCCACGCAGATCAGAGCTACCCAGCTAACCTGGACTGCTCACCCCTGGACTCCTACAGGAGAGAGAAATCCACTTCTGTGTTCTTTAAGCCGCCCAACCCTGGGCCATCTTGTTATAGAAGCTTCACTTTCACCTTCAATAACACACATTCAGCAAAGTGACAGCGATTATTATAAATACCGCTGCAAGGGAGAGGTAACACTCTCCCAGGTGGCTGGATCATGCAAACCGCCTTTGAAAAGAGGAAACCACTCCACCGATGTGAGGGCGTCTTTAACGAGGGCTGGTAGGATACCCATTTGGCACAGCATGGCGCAGCGCTGCCCCCAGAGCCTGATTTGAAGTGCTTACCTGCTTGGTTGGTGGTGATATTCACGGAGGCGAACTGAGGTGAGAAGGGGCTCTGGTCGGTGACGCCATTCACGGCTTGGATCTCGAAGGTGTACTGGGTGTGAGCCAGCAGGTCGCTGATGTAAATGCGTGGCTCAGTCAGGCCCAGCTGGCGGGGTGCATACTGCACATTGTCCCCACAGCGGGTGCAGGCACCCCGGCCTGAGCCGCAGCTCTTGCAGATGATGTTGTAGACGAGATCCTCACGGCCTCCCGAGTCACGGGGCGGAGTCCACTCTAGCATGAGTGAGGTCTCATTGACACTGGAGATCACGGCCTGGGGTGCAGAGGGGATGGCTGGGGAGGGGAAGGGGGAGAGGGGGGCACATCAGTCAGCATGGGCTGTGGGGGTACATTCCTGCCCTGGCTCCCACCCACGCCTCCCAAAAGGCTTCCGCTAAATCCTTTCTCCTTTGCACCCACCAGAGAGATGTTTCTAGAATACAATTCTCATCCTGCTGCACATCTGCTTAAACCTTTCTCCCTGGACTCCAACCTCCTCGGTGTTTGTTACTAGGGACAGTCTTTTTGTGTTGGGGATTATACCCACCCAGTATCTATTTCCCGTTTTTCCTTATAACAGAACCCAATTTTATTCAGGGTGGCAATATGTCCAAGCTAAAAGACTGTATTTCCCAGCTTCCTGTGATTAAGTGCTGGCCACTGATTACGGTAGAAGTTGTTGGTTAGGATTTTTTCTTAAAAGGAGGCAGCTGTAGAACATCCCTTTACCCCTTTCCTTTCTGCTGCCTAGAATGTGTGTGATGGCTGGAGCTTTGGCAGCAATGTTGAGCTATGAGGGGACCTGAAGGATGGGAACCACATGCTATGGGTGGCAGAGCAGAAAGAAAACGCCAGGTTTCAGAGAACTTCATGGATTTACCATTCTATTCCAGGACTGCCTATCTTTTGGCTTCTATTATGTGAGAAACTAAATCCTTCTGGTTTAAGCCACTGGGGTCAGCTCTCTGTTACTTGCAGCTGAACGCCATTTCTGACACGGGAGTTGTGACATTGCCCTTGTAGTCACCCCTTTCTCAGAGAACCTTGGCCTGTGATTCAGGCAGCCACTGCCAGGTTAGAACACAGCCTTTTCTGCCACAGACACCACCTGTGTTGGCTCTCCTGCTGCCAAGCCTCCCATTCTCTGTCCCTTTGTGACTCAAGACCATGACTTTATCCTCCAGGTGACTTAACAGAAGGCGGTAAGGGGCCAGATGCCAGCCCCGTGGCATCTGCGTGTTGGTAGCACATCCACCCGAGGACCACCTTTTCCAACCAGCTTTCCATGTCTCTTCCCACCAGGCAATTGGCTGCGCCTCCCTCAGGAAAAGCTGGCTATAGCTGGGTAGCCACCCAGCCCACACCCTGGGCTTTTCTGCAGGTGACTGGGGACTCAGGCAGGTGTCGCCCTCAAGAGACCCTGGACGTACTTGTGCAGGGCATGTCCAGGGGGTCCAGGTCTGCTCGGTAGTAGCCATTGCGACAGACGCAGTTGGTGGCCCCTTCTGAAGTGGTCCGGCTGTTGATGGGACAGTGGGTGCAGGCCTCATCCCCTTGGTTGGCCTTGAAGGTTCCGGATGGGCAACCTGGGAGAGAAGACAAGGAGAGTCATTGGGAAAACCAGAGGAGGATTCAGAGAGGACCATGCAGTCTCATGGAAGCAACACGCAGCATCACGAGGGGCCACGGAGCCTCATGGAGGGGCCACGCAGTGTCATTGCTGGGAAATCCCATCTCCTGAAGTTCTTTGGGATCTCCAGCCTCCAACATGGCAGTCCTAACCTGGGACTCCCAAGAAAGTCCCAGGCTACCTGGTTTCTTGTCTCTGAAGCTGTCTGTGCGTTCAGATGGGGCCCCTGGCAGGCCTTCCTTACCTGTTCCAGGTTGGCTGTGCCACAGCTTTGGCATCAGTCTTGACTGAGTCTGAAGAGGCCTGTGGCAGTGCCTACGGCCCAGTCTTGCTTACTAATGGCTGGCTGGGCCCTGATTCCTGTAACTAGATTCCTGACTTCCAGATGATTGACATGTTTACATTATAGTAGCACAGTCCTAGCACAGCACGGAACATGTAGAGAGGTGGTGTGGTCGAGCAGGCAAGGGCCCTGGCTTTGGAAGCAGACACACTTGGGTTTGAGTCCCAGCTTGGCCTTTTACTAGCTGTGTGGCCCTAGACAAGTGGCTTAACTATTCTGAGACTCAGTTTCCTTATTTGTAAAATTATGATTCTAAGACCCATTTCTGCAGGCCATGGTGAGTATTTGGCAGATGCGTGTAAGGCAACAACATAAAGTCTTGCACAGAACAGGTGCCCAGTGAATAGTAGCTACTGTAATAGTAGGTGTTGGATCAATTTTTTAAAATAAAGGGGGGGCTGAAGTACCAAGGACAGCCTGAGGAGGGCAGTGTTTGCACTCAGTGGGCATTCCGCCATCTGGGATCTCCCAGGGGCTTTGGCCTTCCCTGCTCTGGGGTCTGCTCAGGATTTGGGTTCAAGGTCCTGCAGCTCAAGGCTTAGGTGCTACAAGAGGTAGCCACTCCTGTGTGGGCCTGCGCCGATCCGCCCTACCCTTCTCCCTGGCCCTGGGCAGGGAATCGGAAGGCCTGTGCCGTAGGCCCTGCCCCTTTCCTGGCCTGTTTCTTCTTCCACTTACTGGGGTTCATAATCCCAGCTCTGCTGTGGTGTCTTGTGGGGGATCATGGGAGGCTTAAGTGAGAAGGTGGACAGGGAAGAGCTTTGCAAGGAGCAAGTTCCTCCCTGGGATGAAAGGCGGCTAAACTGTCCACAGGCCAGGGGCTCTCACCGGGATTGCATTCCATGCTCAAGTCCCGTGTGACCTTTGGCAGGCAACTCCAACCCCTCAACCAGGTCCAGCCCTCCCACCCTCCTTGGCACGTATATTACTTGAGTTCACAGTGCTTTCCTCCGCTGCCGTAATTATTCCTCACGGGGTCTCCTGGCCACGCTCTTGGAAGGTGGCTACCGTCCTAATCAACAACCACCCTGGCCGATGCCACCCTGACCGGACCCTGTGGGATCTCGGAGGAGAACCAGCTCCAGCCTAGTCCTTGAGGAGCTGCCAGGTGAGGCGAAAGGCAGGACATTACACAACCAACCAGGCTACAGTGAGGAGGGCAGTGAGTGCCTCTGGGCAGTTACTAGGGCTTCCAGTGTCCCGATGGGGAAACGGCTCTAGAGCATAAATAGGAAACAGCAGACACTTATTGAGTACTTAAGTGCTGGCACTATCCGAAGGACTTAACCTGCAGTTACTCACCCAAGCCTCACCCAGCCCTGTGATGGAGGTGATGTCACCACCCCCTTTTTCAGATGGGGGAACGGAAGCACAGAGGTGAAGTACCTTTCCAAGGATGCGGCTTCCGGTGGCAGAGCTGAGACTCAGTCCTAGGTGGCCTGAGTCGAGGCCACTCCCCTAACCACCACACCACGCAGCCTTTATGCGACTTGCATTGCATTAACGGTGCTGGGCGGGGATTGGCAGCTCCTGCTCTGGGCGCCAGGCCAGGGCTCCCGCCACTTGGCTGTGCTTCCCCTTAGGCACCAACCTGTCCCTGCTGGCTGGATGAAGGGGAAGCCCCACTCTCTTGGCACTGTCCAGTCACGATAGGCCGACTGCAGTCCTCGTTCTAGTTGAGCGATTGACACCTCTGAGCCTCAGTTTCCTCTGCTGTAGAATGGGGGCACAAGGCTCCCGTGAGAGTCTAGGACCATCCTGACAGATGCCAAAGGGTTTTGGCTCCAAGACCAGGATCCTCCTGGTTCCCCTTTGGGTGAGAGCCTGCCCAGCTTAGCATGCCTCTTCCATCTGCTGGCGATTCCCGGGGCCTGGCTGGTGGGTAGCTGCCCACTCTCCCCTCCACACTGTGCCAGCCCCTCCATCTGGACTGCCTTCCTGACTTTCCTCTCTTATCACCATGTCCTGGCCCCTCTCAGGCTCTCCAGGCTGCCACGTCCAGAAGCCTTCCCTCATGAAGCGTGCTGCCCAGCCAGCCCTTGGCCCTCCTACTGGGTGTTCTGTGGTTTCTGTATCTGTTGGCTCTGTGCTTCATAAAACCCGCTCTTCTGTCATGCCTCCCCGCTCCCCTCACCCCTTCAGCCAATCAATTACCAGGTCTTTCCTCCTCAGCGGTGCCCCGTCTTGCCTCTTCTTTGCTGCTCTCCCACTCCTGCGGGCATCCAGAAAATTCCTCCCACCCACTCCTCAGCCTCTCCTGGCCATCTGGTCTCCTCCTGCTCACGTTCCACAGCCAGCTTTCCAAAGTGCAAGCCTTTGTGCACCACTTAAAAGCCCACAATGGCATACAATGGAATATTATTTGGCCATAAAAAGGAATGAAGGACTGATACATGCTACAACACGGATGAACCTTGAAAACATTGTGCTTAGTGAAAGAAGCCAGTCACAAAAGGCCACATAGTATATGCTTCCATTTATATGAAAATGTCCAGAATAGGTGCATCCACAGAGACAGAGTATAGATTAGTGGTTGGCAGCAGCAGGAGAGAGCAGAGAATAGGAAGTGACGTTAATGGGGTTTCTTTTCAAGGTGATGAAAATGTTCTAAAATTGATTGTGGTGATGGTTGCACAATTCTGTGAATAAAACTAAAAATCACTGAATTGTACAATTTAAATGGATGAATTGTATAGTATGTGAACTCTATCACAATAAAACTGCTCTTAAAAAATAAAAACCACACAGCTCCCCAAACTCCTCAGGGCCCCCAGGACCCCAGAGCTGGCATGTGCTCATTTCTCAGTGTCCACTACCCCAAGCTTTGTACCTGATGGTCCACAGAGTCAACCGCATATAGTGCCCGCCCCCAGGCTCCTCTCCACACCTCTGGCCTTTGTCCATCCTGCCCTCCTTACCTGAATGCCGTCCCTTTGTCATCAGGTGAATTCCTAAACCCCTTTAAGATTCAGTGCAGGTATCACCTCTTCCAGGAAGTCTTCCCTAAGACCCCATGCAGGGTTGAGGTGCCTATTTTAATTACTTACTGTAAATATTTAGCTGGATTGTAAGCTTCTAACACAATGTCGGGTATCTAGTAGGTGATGGAAGGATGGAGTGAAGAGCTGGAAGAGCAACCAGCTCAACACTTGACATTTGGGGAAACTGAGGCCCAGAGAGGCGCAGGCACACGTGGCTCTTTTCTGACCTCAGCTATACTAGTATATGTAACTGCAGGGTGTGCTGGGGCCTCAGCTCCCATCAGCCACCTCCTCTCACACTGAGTCCCGGGGCAGCCACCATCCACAGTGCCCGGTGCCCTGGAAGTCACGCTGCTCCTAGCTTCTCAGCTGGGAAGGCGCCCGTCCTGCTAACATCTGAGTCTCATGTACAGAAGGGGGAATAAAACAATGAAACCTGGAGACACAGACTTGGGCAGCTGCACCTCTGACAGGTGTGTGACTCAGACAGATCTCCTGCCTTCTCTGTGACTCAGTCTCCTCCTCCGGAAAGGGACTCATGATACCTGCAATGGCACAGACACAGCGATAGCCTCTGATGGGGTCTCCCTGCCTGCTGATCCTCCGTGATCTGATGAGAATGAGTCAGACCCACCACGCCCTGCTTAAACTCAGCAGTGGCTCCCCACTCGGCACTAGAATCCGCCCACACACATAGTCCCAGCCCACAAGGCCTGCAAGGTGGGCTCTGCTCTCTTCCTGTCACTTCCTGCCACGCCCCTTGATCACTGTGCTCCAGCCCACTGGTCATCAAGAGTGCTCCCCCCAGGGCCTTGGGCCATGCTGTACCCTCTGCTTGGACTGCTGTCCCGGCTCTTCCCATGGTCGATCCCTTTCATCCTTCCGCCCCAGCTTAAATGTCACCTTCTAGAGAGGCCCTCGCTGACCACCCTGACCAAAGCAATGCTCTCCTACATGGTCTCGGCTTCTGTTTGTTTCCTTCATTGACCCTCATCACAATCTGTAATTAAGTTGAACCTTGAACAACACGGGTGTGAACTGCATAGGTCCTCTTATACGCAGATTTGTTTCCATAAATACAGTCAGCCCTTCTTTTGCATGGGTTTCACATCTGTGGACTCAACCAGCCTTGAATAGAAAACAGTATTTTCGAATTCCCAATTGCGGATCGAAAATACTGTTTTCCATCCAAGGTTGGTTGACTCCATGATGCCAAGGGCCGGCTGTAGAGTCAAAAGGTATATGCAGATTTTTGACTGCACAGGGGGTCAGGGGCAGGAGTAGCGGGCAGGAGGGTGTGGGTGCCCCTAACCCCTGTGCTGCTCAAAAGCCAACTGTGTATTAGGAAACAGTTTATAACCTTGTGTGCTGTCTGTCTTTTCCCTGCACTGGAAGGACCTGGGGACGGAAAGAGGGACCAGGTTTATCTAGTTGCATTGGTTCCCTAGCTCCTGGCAGAGTGTGGGAACATAGCAGGTGCTCAATGTATATTTCTTGAATGAACAAATATGCCCCTTACAGGATGTTGTGAGAATCAGGTGAGAGAGTGGGTGAGAAAATCCTTAGCTGAGGAAATGCAAGGTTTGGTACCACCATTATCATCTCAATTTCATCAGGCCGCATGGATGCTCAGATCCCTCTCCATTTCTCATTTGTTCTCCCCATGGGTCTTCCCAGGGGCCTGTGCACCGACTGGGGTGACCTGCCCATCCTGGTTTTCAACCTGGAAGCCCTGCATCCTGGAAACACCTGTAGTCACAGGCAACCCTCCTGTATACTTCTCCAGCCCATCTGTCACCACTCTCATCTGTTTGCAGTTCCCTAGATGCCCTGGCTGCATACACACTGGTCCCTTTGCCTGAATGCCCTTCTCCCCCATCATCCTGTCCCCTGGGGTTGGTGAACCGGACATGTGCTTTCCGGGTGCTGGGCCCGGTACATGTGATTTACATAGATTTGTGCACTGAATCCACATGACCGCCCGCTGATGTAGGTATTGCTATCACCCCCATTTTATGGATGAGGAAACTGAGGCTTAGAGGGGGTGAGGGACCGTGCCAAGGTCACATAGCTTCTAAATGGAAGAGCTGACCTTGGAGCTTCTAAATGGAAGTTGGACTCTGAGTCTCTGTGGTTGCAAAGACCTTGTGCCCCGGTACTGCTGGACAAAGAAATTATCGAGTGGCTGAATGGCAGGACTGGAGGCCATCTTGTCAGGCCTCCTGAGGGGATGGGACTTGATGGGGTCACTCGGCAAGGAAAAGGCAAAGCCTGGGCCCTAAACACAGGACTTCGGGCCAAAGTAGCCGGCCGGCACTCGCCTCCTGCAGACGCCCAGAGCGCTTGGCCAGGCAACCCAAGGCGGGGATGGCAGCCGGCCGGGGATGGCGGGGAGGATTACAGGGAAACAGATTTTTCTCCCCGCCTGCCCCCTGGGCTCCAGGGATAGGTGATAATTGACCGAGTGAGCCCCGAGTCAGGCCGAGGCTGGGATCCATCTGGGCCTGGCATGGCGGGGCTGCTAATTGGCACCGGGTGATACTTGAAGCCTCCTTGGTTGGCCTGCTGCTCTGCTCTCCCCTCTCCTCCCAGAGACTCCGGTTTACTCCTCAAAACGACAGATGCCACAGTGGAGTCAAATGCTCGAGCCGGCCCCATGTGCCAGGCCTCGGGGGGAAGGGGCTTCTCTGTCTTCTGGGGTCTGTCTGTGGCTCTGGGCAGACACCACAGTTTAACTCCGGCTCCTGAGAACCTGAGCAGGAGGTCTGATGACACTGAACCTGGGCATGGACTGTGCAGCCAGCTGCCAGGGCTGAATCCCAGGCCTGCCTCTTGCTATTATAACAGTGTGACCACGGGCAAGTTGCCTAACTCTGTGCCTCAGTTTCCTTGTCTGTATAACAGAGGGAATGATAACACTGACCTGACATTTGTTGGGAAGGTTACATGAGGGAATATAGATAGATAAAGCACTTGGAACAGTGCCCGCCTGGTTCACATTTAGTGCTTACACACGGGTTTGCTGTTGTCATCTTCATTCATTCTTGGCCCACCACTTGCTCTGTGCTAAGCCCTGGGGACACGGAGAGGGCGATGCAGCCCATCCTCAGGACTGCGGTCCAGCTGGGGAGACGGTGAGTGGTGAATTTATTCAGTAGGCATTTATTATGTGCCTATTGTGTATATTATGTATATCAAGCCCCTGTTATGTGCCAGGCACAGGGCACACTGAGACACCAGGCCCAGGCTCTGCCTGTAAGAGGGGCTGGAACACCTTCCTTTAACCAGGCCTGAGTGCTCGCTGCTGTGGGCAAAGGAGACAGAGTGAGTTCTGGGCTCAGCAGTGCCAGGTTTGAAGTGCAG